CCTCTGTGCTACTAATTGAGTATCTGCTACACCAACCTCCTTGGTGTCGTCTGCAAATTTAACCAGTTTACTGTATGTATTGGTGTCAATATCATTAATGTAAATTAGGAACAATAATGGTCCTAAAATTGAACCCTGTGGTACCCCACTAGTAGATGAGGGTGTGACTCTGGTGAAATACATAAAGTTAATTCAAAACTTTTTGTTTTAGTCTTGTACTGCAAAGAGATTTCGGCAGATTTGCAAAGGGAAAAAGAAACTTTAAGACTTGGAACTTGTGTTTCCTTGTCCAAAAATATCTCCTGTTTGTATCAGATTTACAGCCCGGATCCGTTTCCTGGTCATACGCAGCAGGATCCTTGAGATTATCAACCAAGTGATTGGCTGGATTTACTTCCTAGCTTGGTCGATTTCATTCTACCCTCAAGTATATGAGAACTGGAAAAGAAAAAGGTTTTTCTTTATACATATACTACAGTATAAGATGTTTGTCTGTAGTTTTCCTTTATTGTCATTTCAAACTGAATACAAGTTGGCCATGAATTGATCAGTAACATTTGTTTCCCCCCCCTTTTCTGCAGTGTGGTCGGCCTGAACTTCGACTTCCTAGCCCTCAATCTGACTGGATTTATTGCTTACAGTGTCTTCAATGTGGGCCTTTTCTGGGTCCCCTATATGAAGGTAGGTTTTTAACTTGTTAGCTTTTAATTGGTAATAACAAGGTTTTATTGTTTTCTTTTTTTAAATCCTGATGTTTTTGTAGCCTAGGCATGGGAAGTGTGAGGTTTGCAAAGTAACAGAAGCTTTGTGCATATTTCATTGTACTTTATTAATTAACACAATAAGATTTCGGTGAGATCTGCTTTGACTTCAATGGCCGTATACAGTCCTGGCCTTTCAACAAAGTTTCAGTGGATGTAAAAGCATCTACTGTAGGACTGCAAGGAGGGAGAGAGAGGAGATGCGGGGAGTCTCTCTGAGGGCACAAATTGCAGGGGCTCACTTCTTCGGGGTGGGGGCACATGTTTGCAGCCCATACAGGGGATATTATGTGTGCTGATAAATGCTGGGATTTCATCTTCTCAGGAGGAGTTCCTGAAAAAGAATCCAAATGGTGTGAACCCAGTAGATTCCAATGATGTGTTTTTCAGCCTGCATGCAGTGCTGCTGTCAGTGTGTTATTTACGAGGTAAGCGGTGCTTTACGATGTGAGCAAGCAGGCATGTCGCTTCTCCTGTGATGGGGACTGACAGTTTGCCTGAAGAACCCCCTCCATCTCCCACTAATGAGGAGAAAATGGCAAAATGAAACTCTTTTGTTTTTGCCTTTTAGAGAGGTGGACAGAAGGTTTCCAAAGTGGCCATTGTTTTGCTGGTGATCGGCTGGTCGTTTGCTCTGGTTACCCTCTTCCTGGCTCTGGCCGGCACAATCACATGGCTGGAATATCTCTATTACTTCTCCTACATTAAGTTAGGTGTGACTCTGGTGAAATACATACCGCAGGTATACTTGTCTGTTGCTTGCTGTTATATATTTTGTAGGAGGTTTAAATCGTATTGTGATTACAGGGTTGCCAGCTCTCACGCATCTGGCATGACACTCACACTTTCAGGCTCTCACGCTCACATCAGAAATCTTAGGGCAAATCTATGTTATTCCAATATAAACCTAAAATTACCTACATCAAAATCACTGGGGTAGTTTGCAAACCCTGCAGACCATTTACAAGGTAATAAACTGTAACATACATGAAAAATTTGTGTGCAGACTTGACTCGAATTGAAAATCTCACTCCATCCAGCTGACCAAAGTTGGCAACCCTGTAATTAATGCCAAGTAAGTAATAAGTACGATATCTGGGAATTTTAATTCACGTTATTTTTATTAGCCGATGACCTTAAATGAGACATTATGATTTACCTCCTTTGTGAGCTCACGGCCTTGTTTCTCAGCTGTGCAGAAGGTCTGATCCTCATGCCACTTAACGCCCGTAATATGCCAAGGATCATAGCCCTGCCTGGCTCTGCATGCTGCCAGTCTTCCTTTGTCTGTTCAGTTCTCACTGTCACTTCATGGTAGTCTGTCTGTTCCCCAAGGCTTACATGAACTATCAGAGAAAAAGCACTGAAGGGTGGAGCATTGGAAACGTCCTGCTTGACTTTACTGGGGGCACTTTCAGCCTCCTGCAGATGTTTCTGCAGTCCTACAATAATGGTGAGGTTCAGTACCCAACGCTGCACGTAAGGTCCTAAGGCTCAGTGTAAGATTGCCAAGTCTCATGCATTTGGCGTGACGCCCACGTGTTCAGAGTCTCATAATGTACATACCTGAGAAATCTATTATAAACCTAAAATTAGCTACATCAAAAGTGTTTGGGGTAGTTTGCAAACCCTGCCGACTATTTAGGTAATAAAACCGTTACATATGTGTAAATGTGTTTGCATGTGTGTTGGCTACCCTGTGAATGTAGCGAAGGGATGGTGTACGATGCAGTGTACGATGCAGTGAAGGATACCATTGGCAGAGCTCACTGCACCATAGCTAACATGGGACATCTACATTTGTTTATCTGGCAAATGATTTTCATCAAAGTGATTTAAAGTGAAGCTGGTAACACTAAACAGGGAGTCGGCTTAGATGCCTGTGCTGTTCGACGAAGCTGGCAGCTACTGAAGAGAAACAAGATAGTTGTGGAAGCAAGAGCTGTACAAACAGGACTTAAAACGTCAAGTCAGAAATACTATAAACACATACTGTAATCACCAGAGAGAGAATCTAAGAAAGACTTCAGAATCTAAGAAATCAGACTTGCCACCTTCTCCTTGATGCCCTGTGAGTCTCCTGCAGTGTGGTGGCACCTCCCTGTCACCCTCAAATGATGCATAATGTCCTGGAAATCTGTCATTATGCTATTCACTGGCTGTAAAGTTACCGAGACCCCAACCAGCACTGTGCTCGGTGGTATTTGATCTTTAATACAGTCATACCATCCAGACATCAGACCACATTATACGGTATTTTAAAAGGCGACACTATTCTGGTGAGCGCGTGGCGGGGATATTTTTGGCCAATGAACACCGTATGTGGTGTCACCGTAATACTACCCCGGCCTATCTGGCACCCCAGCTCCTGCCTGGCCTTCATCCGCCTCCCTTCTGATCAGAACCTGAAATGATTCTGTAAAGAGAGGAACTAATGGCAAACCAAATCATATTATTTAGTGTAATAGTATTCTGCCATCCATCCATCCATCCGTCCATCCTGCAGCAGCCTATCAAGAGCAGGGTCACAGGTGGTCCTGTAGCCAATCCCAGCAGCACAGGATGTAAGGCGGGAGTGCAGCCTGTGTGTCTGGGCTGAGGGAGGAGCCCGTGGTAGGGCACGCCAGCCTGGCGCAGGGGGATGTTGCACACTCAGATACAGACACAGTCAAGGTGACACTCTTATATGTGTCTTCCAAGATCATTTTCCATGAGAATAATGGAATAATCACAGGGTAGTGCACAGAACAACTGCAGGGTCTTACATAAAGCAGATGAACCTGAGAAATCTGTTTTTTCCCCCAACTATACTTCAATAAATACTATGTTTGGTTTGTGTTTATTTGCAGATGAATGGCGGCTGATTTTTGGGGACCCGACGAAGTTTGGCTTGGGCGTATTCTCCATCTTCTTTGACGTGGTGTTCATGGTCCAACACTACTGTCTTTATCGGAAACAAGAATACCAGTTATTAGACTGATCTCCATGGGCCTCTGCGAACTGGGACCAAACTATCAACGTGAAGCAGGGCACGGACTCTCATTGTCACCAGAATATGAATGAAGCACTACAATCAGCAAATCACGTCAAATGAAATGTTGCTTAATGAATATTTTTTGGTAAAACGATGGGCATTGTTTTCTAAACACCACTTTAATTTTTTACATTAGTGACACAGGTTTGTTCCCAGTAATCTTGAATGAACTAGAAAACTCTCTTTATGAATGGTTTATTTAGCTTTTTTCCTGAAGTGTTGTCAGAAAAAATTCAGCAATATTCAAAGAAGAGTTTTAACTCGAGAGCGATTTACCAGTGACGCTAACGGCAAGCAGCTTTCGGTTGGGCTCATTCCCGGACCTTCGTTAACCGCACTCTGTGTGACGTGAGGGCTGTTCCCGGCGGTGCAGTGCGCAGCTGGAGCGAGAGCTGCGAGGCTGCGTGTCGGGTCTGCGCACCTGCAGCTGTAACGCACGCAGTGCTGGGCGAGACGTAAGAAGGAAGAACATTTTGCAGTGTCGTGTTTTGTGATACTTTACAAAACGCACAAAAATGACAAATACTACCAAAGTGTGCCTCTGTTCATCCCCAGCGGTGTCATTTCGGCAAAGCGGCGCCAGCTGGCCTCTGCTCGCGCGCCGTCTGGTGGCACGAGGGCGGTGATCAGCTCACATGGCAGCCGCTGGCATGAAATGCAGCTCCTGGGTGCCACTCTTCCTGGCGCCGGCTCAAAAGGGTATTAATGTGTTTCCACTGCTGAGGGTGTTGTGTGATACTGTGGCAGATTGGAGGGCGTTCCAGTGCGTCTGACCCTCCCCAGCTCGAGACCCACAGACTGAAAGCTTTTAGACACAGCTGGCTGCTGTTTCCCTAACTAGTGGTTTCTGAGTATAAGGACCGGCTGTGGTGTTGGGAGGGGAGCAGGGGAATTACTGTAAATGTGACATGACATGAATACTGACTTCTGTTAAAAACATACGTTAGAAATAGCCATTGCTGTGACCTTGGCTTGTACCTCTGGGGTTGTAGTTACCTGATTCGCAGTCTGTTGATGTTGCAGCCTTTTTGCATTAACACAGATACAGCCTGAAGCGATCGCAGGAAGCACATCGAAACCCCAAGCTTCTGCTGCCATGTTATGTGTTTTCTACCTATTTTTTCAAGAACACTGCAGATGTTTTCAAAATATGCAGATTTTTTTTTGTTGAATAAAAATTTTCATTCCCTTTTCCAGAATGTCTTGGAAATTACTGTGCCAGCATCCCTGACCCCTTAAAGATGACAAAAAAAAATCCAAACTGACAGATTTTGAAGTTTATCCAAGAAATACACGAGAACAAGTAGGCCTAACATGAGATTGTGTATTTTCTGTTATAAAAACACGAGCAGCATGTATGCAAATCCTATTGCAAAGTTTAATCTTCTGTCAGTGTTAAATTGTGTTTAGACTACCTCCAGCTTCTACGCTAATAGCTGGGGGTTAGGAAGCACAGATGCAGGGAGGAAGCTGTGCAGGTGGTGTTCATCACAGTCATTGGGGATGCCTGTGCTCCTTCATTAGCCCTGAAGGTGAGCTTGCTGCAAGGCCAGGGAGCGTGTCAGCCTTGCTGGTCCTACAACTCTTCCATCAGCCTGAAGTAGAAGAAGGTATTGCTGTGGTTGGCCTGAGTGTGGCTCATGGCATCCAGCAAAGTCTGCTAGACCATTCAGGTAGACCATTCATTCATTTCTATGGGAAAATCCTAATCCCAACAATAACAACCTTAATCCCTACCCAGCACTGACCTTAACCATAAGTA